CCGGCCCCGCCGCCATCCCCGGCCCGGCCTAGTGCAGCGCCGCTCCCGCCCGGCCCGCAACCGCGCCCGGCTCCTGCGTTCCGCTGCGGCCCCGCCCCCGGCTTGGCATCACTTCAAGACCCATCCATGATCGTTCGAGGAGCCGCCGTAGAGATCATTCAATGGATTGCTGGTGACCGCGGCCTTTGGTCCGTGCAGCTCTAGGGCCGTGTTTCTCAATCAGTGGGGTGCGAAGGTTGTCGGGACTTGAGCTCATTTGAACATTTCTGTGCGTGATTAGTATGATGCTACAATGCATGTAAACGTAAAAATACACCGCTTGGGGAAAGTGGGGTTTGGTTTTTATCATGGTGGGACCAGGTTTTTTCGACAAAATGCTTGGTGGGGCATAAGGTGCAAAGAGGTTGAGAACCACCGACGCTCAGGGGCAGGCTCTCGAGGTGATCACTTGTTTTTCACCGCAGCCCAAAGGACTAGAAGCCGCTTAGCACAGACAGTGAATGAAAGGATAACAATGTGAGTTCAGGATCTGGGGATTCAAGAGAAAAAGGAGAATCCCCTCTGGTGTTGCTAGATGCATCTGAAAGTCTAAGACAGCTTGTGGTCAACAAAATTAGGCTAAATTAAAGGTGCTTAGTCACCAGTCCATGTGCCACATCCATCTTACAGAGCCATGCCATCTGGTCAGTGGGGCTCCCCATGGGTCCCGAAAGTTGGTAGTGGGGGAGCAGCAGTAATTAACACTGCTACCTCCCCCCCACCTCCACATTACCAAGCCCCAGGGGATGGGATCAGGCCTCGACCAAGCCAGCCTTGCATGGTGAGATCAGGACCGCGGACCAGATCCGGCCCGCAGACTGAATTGGCACAGCTTATCCAGCCTGCAGGGCCAAAAGGTTGAGCACCACTGGTCTGAATAAACTAGACCCAAAGAGGGAAAGTGGCTTGCCCAAAGTCACACAGCAATGTGTGACTGTTGACGAGAGAATTCAGGTCCCTATTCAGTGCCTTCCTCACTGAATTATGCTAACTCTCTAACAGTAGTGCCTTTGTAGGAGTCACACTCCTGGTCTCTCACCTCCTTAATCTCTGTCCACATTCATTTAATGATAATTCCATATGCTGTGAGCAGGACATGGATCTGGTACAGACTATGTGGACAGATGGGCATCCTGGGATCCATAGTCCAAGGAACTGTTTGGAGATGAGCCTGAGGAACGGAGTCGAGAGGAAGTGGCATTGGACTCAGCTACATATGGGTAAGAGACTAATGCCAACTTTGTTATTGCTGAGGGGACAGAGGAAGTTACAGCACAAAGGGGAGAGGGCTTGTGGGGATGTACCGAGTTGACTAAGGCAATTATTGTAATGAAGGATACCAGTAGTACAAGCCTTAGTATTTCCCCTGCACTTTTCCTCCATTACCCTTCCCCTAAAACATGTTATCCCAGATGGATTTAAAGTTTGAAAAAGATTAAACCTACTACTAGTGAGTTATTCTAATTGTGAGTAAATAGATCACTGCTAAAAGCAATTACTTAAAGCTGAGATTACAGAAATAAAAAGCATGAGTCCCTGTCTTCACACATATAACTCCCAGTTTATACCTTTGTCATACCAAAGTATTGTTAGGTTGGTACAAGCACAGTAGTGTAGTTTATAAAAGCCTGTATTGTGTAAGTCCCATTGGCTATAGAGAATGGAAAAAATTCCTTGGTTGGTCATTGTCGTACGTGGCCTTTTGAGGGACGCATTGTAAGAGTGGGATGGAATTGAGGAGTCTGGGAATGCTGTTTTGTTGTTAACAAACTTCATATTAGTACAGGATCCTGGTAAGATTCACCCACTTTATACCCACTCCTGGCAGATGATGCTTGAGAATTTGGGTTGTAGTCACTGTGGTCATATGAGATCTTGGGAAAAGAGAAGGAGACAGGAGATTTGCATCCAAAGCCTCCTATAGAAGTCTCATATTCTCTTATAACTGCATAAAAAACACAGCAAACAAATTGATTGCTATCCTTCCCATGGTATCCGGGTTCCTCATATGTATTTTCATGCAATGCAATCGTGGATAGACAAATAAGGGTGGCCTTGTGTTTCTCATCTCGATTTAGCTGCAGGAATGATGAGTGCATTTTGTGATTGCCTGGGGAGGTCCTGCAAGCCAGCAGGGTCATGAGTTGAGTCCCATTAAAAGCAATCTCCTTTTCCCTTGCAATTGTTGTACAGGGTGCAACATGCCACAGTACCAATTACTGCAAGCACATTGACATGCAAATGGCAGTACAGTCTTGTCTTCTGTCAGTCAAATTAACTTTTCATAGCAATCCTGCAGCTGCTTACTAGACACATTGAAAAGGGCAGTGGGCATTTGAAGGTTTCTTTAAAGGTTTCTTAAAATGGGCACAGATGCCTTCTTGACTAAGCATGCTAACAGGTAGGAATAAGGTCCCTTCTTGTCCAAACAGGTACACACACAAACTCTGTAACCTGCTAGCATCATGTATTCTACCTGTGCATCCCATGTAGGTGTTCATGGACATTCTAGTATGGTCAACCAAGGCCTGCAGAATGATGGAGTAGTATCCTCTGCAGTTGACATATTCTTGTGCTCCTTGTTGTAGGTAAATTATAGGCACATAAATGCTATCAGTAGCCCAGCACATTTTAGGGACTCTTTCTTCCCAAGGCACCTTCTAGAATTATTTCAGAAACAATAGCTTTGGCTATGTTCATATAAACTGTAATAG